ACTGTCTCAGGAAGCCTATGTCAGAACAATGCTTAATATACAAGATTTCAGGATCAGTGCAAAATTTTAATATAGGTGACAGACATGTGAGGAAGCAGAACTATTTAAGAGGAAAAGGAAGGTCAATAATAGAAAAGGCAAAAAGAACCTAACTACTATCATTTCTGTCTTTCAAAAGTAGTAAAAAAACAGAATTGGCCATGTAGCATTTAGGCATTTCTTGGTTAATTCTATAACAATTCTAGGAAAAACTTAATCTGGTTCTAAATGTTGACTTCCATTTTATTTTTATTTTAAAGGATATGATTTTACTTAAAACCTTATTCATGCATTTTCAAGATTCAGAAGCTACTTTATCCAGGCATTCTTTATAAATAAGTTAACATTGTGCTGTTAATTGATGGATATTCAAAGACAACAGAGATCAAAACACCGATGCAATAATTTGAAAAGGTTAATTTTTCAAGTTTCATACAGCTGTTTCCCTTTCCATATTTTCGCTCAAGGACATGTTGAGCGTTTGCATGTGCATTTATGAATATATATATATATTTAAAAAAAATCACAAACATTCCCAGTTGACGAACAATTATTATTTCTGTTGCCACTTGAAAATCAAAACACAACAAAGATCCACACACTTGTTCAGAAGTGCTGTAATAGGACATATCTACAATGAAACGCCATTTAGACTAGGACTTCAAGGAACAAAAGTGGATAGATTAACAGGGTGCAAACTAACATGCCACAAATAGAAAATAAGGTCAGAACTGGTGTTGCCCTAAGACCTACTTTAATTGATTTGTGTGAGGGGAAAGATTCTAGCAAAATTTTCTTCTACTACTTGTGTGATAATCAGACTCACGGCTACATTATTCATTTTTTTTTCTCATCTTATTTTCTATTCCTAGAGTGTGCTTCCATTTATTAATAAGTGCATATAAGCCACGGGATCCATCCACAACATCAAAGAGAAATAAAAGAAAATTAAAAAAAAAATTCAACAAAAACAACCACAAAGAAGAAATGTTAATGCTTCACAAGATCAAATAGGGACAAAGCTTGATGAGCCAATTAAAGCAAGCTTTTGGTGAATTGTACAATACCGTAGGAGGGCACTAAGTCTCGGGTATGAATCTCGCCACATAGCAACACCTGGCTTCCTAAATGAAGAGTAAAATTACAAAGCTTTCACTTCAATAAAGATTACCTCCCTTCATCTATTCGCTTGTAGAGCCTGCATGCCTACTTACTATGATCTATATAAAACGTTCTTCCATCCAAATGAATCCTTTCCTCCCAACCAGGCTGTAATTAAAGAACAACAAAAACAACATCAGAAGCAGAATTAATATTCATTGCAGCATCATTATGTTTAAACGTTTCTAAACAGGCATATAGATAGCTTCATTTATTCTCCCTCACATTTTAAAGAATGTTTCATGCATTATATACTTAAAATTGAAATTGTGGAGTTCACCAATGTGACCTAATATGTGCCTAGCAGAGTCAAAAAAATTTTTTTGGGGGGAAAATGCTATCTTCTGATGTTGAATAAGAAGGAAATTAATTCCAAAGAACTCCATGGGGTTTGTTTCTTCCAGTAAACAGACTGTTGTAACCAATGGTTTGATTAGTCAATCCCCTGACAGATGTTGCCACTGAATCTTGCCTATAAAGAAGACTATTTGTAGTTTAGGATTGAAATGAGGGGTCTTTGGTGCCCTCTGAGCTTAGTTGTTTTCTTGCAGATGTTTCATTATCCAAAGTAGCTAATATTGCTTTCCAAACCCCATAGCATATGTAGAACAGATAGGGGGTGAAAGAGAAATTATTCTTGAACTAGTCCAGGAGTAGCATCCTTTTTAAGTGGAAGGCACCATTGTACAGTTTTTTCTCTGTTACTAACACTCCCCTGAACCAAATTAAAAAATACAAATAAAATAGGTGAGTATAATTTAAATAAACGAAAGGTAGCTAAAATATGAGGTCTAACATAAGGACATAGAAACTTTCTGAAACTTGGCAACCTTGCACATAGCGGTCATTTTAATTAATCAATGTTACATTGAAGGTCAGAGATTAAAACAGTACCAACTCTTGAGCTATTTCCTTTCCAGGAAATGCTGCATCATTTTGTTTTTCCAGGTGCCTACAAAATCTCAAAGGGAGAGAGAGAAAGTACATCTTCCTCTCTCTGAATCAGGAACAGAACGAGACGGCTTCTATTTCATTAAAAATAAAATAAAACGTAAATTAAAAATAAAATAAAGTAACGTATTTCATATGGGTATGTATGTATGTATGTATGTATGTATGTATGTATGTATGTATTTCATATGGGTATGTATGTATGTATGTATGTATGTATGTATGTATGTATGTATT